GCCACGATCATCAATCCCTGGTGATCAAGTGGCGATTAGTAAGGTCTGCTTCCTAATCAATCCGAGTGCCGGCACAGAAGCAGCTATGCGGTCTGCATCCGACAGAGATGCAGACCGTGTAGCTGCTCCCGCAAGTCTGGTACGCGGTCCGTGACCGCGTACCAGACTGGTGATCTAGGTGCGGGCCAGCCAGTACCAGCCAGTTGCGGCCCACGGGCCGGTACTTTGATACCACTGGTCTAGATGGATACAATACCATATACAACAATATTGTTAGACACATGAGGGAATTGGAGTACTTTAGCTGTGCTCTAAAAGTACACTTGTGCTCATAGGTTTACTGGCAGAATTTAGAATTTCCTGGCCATTTTTCAGAGAATATGAATGATAACACGAAAAACCTTTCTGTCACTCATGGGTAGTGTTTGGCTGAAGCCATTTCAATCAACTGTGTCTACTCTTTTTCAATCATAATGACAACAGTAACTACCCAAATGACCCTTGTTATTTTTTTGTGGGATGTTTGTTGGAGGAAAATATATATTTTTTTAAAGTATGATTTAAAAAAAAAAAAAGTAGGGATGCACCTAGATTACTGCTGTAAATTCAGAGCTTCCCTAACGTCACTATTCTGGGCTGGGCGTCGGTTTGTGTCCCCTCTGATGCCCGCTGCTCTCCCCGCCTGTTTCAGCAGAGGCTGCGGGGATCTGAGGAGACGGGCTGGCACCCAGCAGAGAGGAGACAGCTATTGCAATTTATGAATGGACAGAAGCAGTCAGTATAGAGGCTTCCTGTTCGTTCGTAACAGGGGCTGCAGAAAAAAGATTTAGGATTGTGTCCTCAATGTTTTTCTATTTTTAAAAAGAAATATCGGGGGTCTGTTCAGACACCTTATTTCCCCTGAGCCCCCAACAGTAAAGTAAAAAAGAAAAAATAATTTTTCCACCTGCCTCCTTCGACAAACGATTAAAAAAATTGACACTTGTTGAGCCAGGTGGTGCTGACAGCGTCACCCTCGTATTGAATTTCAGCCAGCTTAAGGGTCGGTTGACACCACCAAACCTCGCTAAACACACAACTGCAGGTGTGTGCATAAATAGTGCTGATGTGCTGACCCGGGTCTATTGCCCTGTTTGCATGCAGCTAACACAGTACAGTGATGTGAACTGGGCTAACGGTAAATAAGGCAATGTACCTTGTCTTTGCATTGGGACTGCACAACTGGCGTGAATAGACCCTTTGGTCAAACATTTATTGGTAAGAAATTCAGGTATTCTTGTTGTATCAGAGGCATGATTGTAAGAGGAGTATTTTTTTTACCAGCCTACTATATTAATAGGTTGGATTAAGCTGTTCTTTGCTGTGCTTATATTTACGCCACTCCCCTCTGCTGGGAAAGAATCCTCTGTGGAGAAGTGAACTATATTGCCGTAACCCTATGCAGACCTATAATTAGACTCGTGCAAACTTGGGTGTTTAATTGTGTTGAGCACTTGAAGCTTGAGCATGGTGCAGCTTTTCATCACCTTATTTTTTGAGGGTGTCTGTATATTTGGTTAATACCTGTATTGATGGTATTCAGTGTAATCCTTCACATTTTTTATCTTGCTTGTCTTTATATTTTTCACATTTACATGCACTACACATTTACATTTACATACAACTAGATGTGACTGACATGGCTTAGGACAAACTTCAACACTGCCTGAGTGCTTAAACATTTGCAGAAGTTAAAATAAATAAACTATAAGAAAAGGTAACTGTTTGTTCTGCTTTGTCCCAACACGTCACTGTTGGGGCGGGGGGGCGCAACAGTTTGTCTCCAAATTGATTTTTTATGCCATTTGTGTTGGGACAGAGGGGGCTGCTTAAAAATTGCCTTGGAAGGTCTGCTTTAAAAGAGAACTATAGCCAAATCATTTTTGGCTTTAGTTCTCCTTTTTTTTGTGTGTGTGTGTCGCAAGAGGACATTTACTATTGTCTTCCTGTGACCCAAAACGCTATTGCCTACTATATGCTAATACTGCAGAGCCGCGCTGCAGCTGGCACAGATCCCGGCAGTATTGTCCCTGCTGCCTGATTGACAGCTGGCTCTGCCTCTCTAGCGTTAGAGCCAGCTGTGCCACTCCCTCTCCTTTCTGTCCCTCAAGTCAGTGCTGGAGGAACAGAGATGGAAGGGGGTAATCTCTGCGAGGAGCGGTGACTTGACAGTCGCTGCTCCCCGCATTCCACTCTCCCCAGAGTTCAAGGCATTGCACAGACGCCTCCAGTATGTAATGCTATTTCTTTACAAATAACACATTTAACCTACTTGAACACTGACTTTAGACCAGGCATTTACATCTATTTAACAGAATAAACCACCCAAAACCTATATTTGTTTTTGGTAGCGTTACATCTTTTTATTTTTTCCCCATTTGCATAGAGTAAAACAAATGGTAAAAATCCCTCCCGCTTTTTTCCTTTTTTTAATCTGTGTGCAAAGGAGGAGATTTCCCTTTGATCCGTTAGACACAGCAGAAAGTGAGGGGAAGTCTCTCCAAAGTAGGGCTGCAACCAACTAAACGATGAGAATAGTTGTCAACTATTCATTATCGATTAGTTGGTTGGATCCCCTGGCTCTCGCCTCCACGCTCGGAGGAGGGCACAGCAAGCAGTGGACAGGTGCAATAGCCAGCCTGCTATTGTAATTTGAAATGGCCAATAGCAGGCTGGCTATTGCGCCAGCCCACTACCTGCTGTATTTACATAAAGCTGCCATCTGCGGAATCTTGCCACTGGCAGCTGTCATTCCCTGGCTGAAGATTTTGAAGCGCCATGTGCTTGCAATTAGGATTGCACCAATATATTGGCTGCCGAAACATATCGGCCGAAAATGGCACCTTTGGCAAAATGCCGAAAGTGCAATTTTTGTGGCCGAAATAGCGGTGCATCCGTGATTTCTCTCCTCCCTGCTGGGCACTGCTCTGTGTACCAGCGGGGAGGAGATAAACTGTCACAGGAGGCCTAGCGGTGTGGGAGGAGAGCACTGTGAGTGGTCGGCATCTCTCCTCCCCGCACCGCTCAGCCTCCTGTCACAGATCAGGAGAGCGGCGGTGTGGCGGAGATGGCCATTGCTGTCACTGGAGGCTGAGCTCTCCTCCCGCCCAGCCTCCTGTGACAGCGTGTCAGGATGGAGAGCAATGGTGTGGGCGGAGACAATGTCATTGCTATCACATTAGGCTGAGCTCTTCTCCCGCCCAGCGTCCTGTGACAGCACAGCAGCGAGTCAGGATGGAAAGCGGGTAGAAACACTCAGCGATCAGTGATGGCTGAGTGTTTGTATATAATTGAGGGCAGAATATGTTTACTGTGTTCTCAATTTTGAATGAATGGGAGTGATCTACATCACTTCCTGTTCATTCATGATTGTGGATTTCGTAAACACAATAAGGGGAATTTATCAAAACCTGGAGCAGCTGTGCATGGCAACCAATCCGCTTCTCTTTCATTTTCAAATCCTAACTGAGCAAACTGAGGAGAGAAGCTGATTGGTTGCTATGGGCAACTGCTCCAGTTTCTGTCTGCTCCAGTTTTGATAAATTCCCCCCACTATGTCCTCAAGTTACAAATGAACAGCAACAATCAGTATAGAGGATTCCTGTTAATTTATAACCGGGACTGCAGAAAAAGAGTGATGACTCTGTGTCCTTAATCTCTCTTTCTATTTTAAAAGGGAAATATCAGGGGTCTGTTTTAGATCCCTAATATTTCCCCAAAAGCCCCTAAAAGTAAAGTAAAAAAAATATTTAATAAAAATAAATACGAATAAAATATAAAAAAAACTAAAGTTTATAAAAAAATAAATAAAACATTTAAAAAAATGTAAAACATTTTCGGTTTCGGCCTGACATTTTTTTTTCATTTCGGCTTCCTTTCCGTTTTGAGATTTTCATTTCGGTGTACCTCTACTTACAATACAATAATTTTTTTTTAAATTCGGTTTTGGCCTGACAAATTCTGCTGCGGGAGGTGCATTGCAGTGCCGTTCATTTCAATGGCACCCCAGACGCGCCCCCCACCCACAGTGTGATCACCTGCACTGCAACGCATGCTACAGCGATGCTGTGCGTTTCAGTGCAGTGCGATTGCAAAAAATTGTGCATGCAGTTTTATTCTGAAGTACTCCCGTCTAAAGATTCTCGGGCGGTCGCAAAGGATCATGGGGCGGGCGCATGCGCAGTTCAGATCTTCGGCCGGGAGACGAGGATAGACGCAAGGTAAGTCAATGGAGGCAGCGTGCACTAACAGACCTGGGACAGGAAGTGCCAGGAAGAGAGAGGAGACAGGCACCAGCGCTGGAGAAACTCCTGGAAAGATGATGATCGGATCAAGAGGCATCATTTAAGTAAGGTAAAGTCCCTTACACTAGCATTGGGGGGATTTGCCTTTAATGTCACATTAAATAAATGACGGTATGATTTTTTAAAATTCTATCCGATTAATCGAAATCCACAATCGGCTAACTATTCGATTATGAAAATAATCATTAGTTGCAGCCCTACTCCAAAGTAAAGTCAATTCCCTCTTAGATGGTTTTCACCGGAAAAATTATCCCCATCGGTGAAAAAAGTTTGGATTTTCCTTCATTTTCGGTCCTGACGACAATGGTCACCAGGACAAATAGCGGTAGTAAATTTTTGAGAAATAGACAGCAGTAAAAAACCTGAAAGAAATTATCCAATGTGTCTGCAAGTACTTTTATTATTCAGTAGGGCCCCATTCATACCTGTAAGTAAGGCAGTTTTCAAGTTCTGGCAGCGAGAGCCCACAGGTTCCTGTGACCAGAATCAGTTATGTGCAAATAGCTCCTACTGCACAGCCTATACAAAGCAATGACAGGCTGTTGGCGGCTGCAGCTGTTCCGACATCACTGGGCACTGCAGATTACCTACATTTAGGGACAGATAAAATTGACGTAAAATATTTCATGATGTTGACTTTTAATGTTTTCTCAGATCCTGCTCTGCCCCCAACCAGTGATAGCACTTCAGTTCAAAACAGTTACGATACCATAGAAGGTGGCGGATTCATGGGTAAGAATTCAGCTCTTGTTTTGCAGCACAGTTTGCATCTAACGACATTTCAAGCATTAAAAATGTAATGCTGGCCATAAACTATGCAAGTTTGTGCCACAATGTTTCCACCAGCCCTGTGATGAAGATGGGGTGAAAATTGACTGAAACCACTTCAGTGCCGCTGAAATTTGTTTAATTTCTGTACTTCAGTTTTTATTACCTGCTTGCTTAAAACCAAGAAACCATTCCTGGTTGAAAGCTGATTGAAACAACAAAATTGCCGTGAACTGTATGACATACCCTAAAACTCTGCCTGCAGGCTCCACATTTTGCCTCTTTTGCTAGCTAGAAATACTAATCTTCTTAATTAGTTCTACTAGGAGTCAGTTTTACCTGACTTCATGACCAAGTCCTCCCACAACCATTTCATTGTCTGCTAACTTGTTGCTAAGGGTCCCATTAAAAATTTTCCCTATCTCTGCCTAAAAAACCCCCAAACTATCACACATTAAAAAGCACTGCACAGCCCATTTGTTCTTTAAAAACGTGCATTGTGCTCATCTGGCTTTGGGATTTTGAGGGGGAGAAAAAACTGGGAGGAGAGCCCAGTCACATGACCTATCATGTGACCTACTCTCTTCAATCACTTTGTTAAGCAGAGAGAACTCCTTGAGATACTGAAAGTTCAATACCATGGCCTGCACTTTATGAATGGGCTGTATAATGCAGGCAGCGGTGAGCAAGATTGCAGAGTATAAGAGAGCAGACAGTGTTATCCACCCTCTGTTATAAATGAGCCCCTAAGCCACTCTTATTGGGACTGGGTATTGTAGTGCATGGACCTTGGCTCACAGAGTAAAACCAGTTTTAAGAGCATTTTCTGAAAGCCCATATTCCTGACTAAAAGCAAAGATGCACTTTGGTTCTTATGTACATGTGCTTTGCTTCTGGTTCAACTTATTTTCATGCATTTTGCCAGGATCAGAACCACTCAGGCTGTGTTTTTTTATTTATTTAAGACTTGCTTTTTCTGAGGTTTTCAGGCTGGACAAGTAACATGCAGGGCCCTTTTGCCATGTTGTGGGTGGCCCTCAATGTTACAGAGAACGGTACTAACCTGATTTCAGCCCACTCCCTGCATCATTATGCTGTGAGTGCAGGGCACCTTGGTGGTAAAGCCCTGCACGTAACAGTATATCCTCAGTCTTTTATGGTTGAGTGATGCTGGCTTCCTAGCCTACTACTGTTTCAAAAGCCTTGGTGCAATAGCTTTAGCTGTGTGCTGCTTGTTGAATTATCTGTTGTATTATACTTAAATGTTTGTCTTTTTGTCACAGGGATGGTTCATCCAGCTCAGCCTCCTCCTCCTCAGCATCCTAAAATCACCAGGAATGCATACCCAACACTGCCTCCAGGGTACCAGAATGCTTTCCCACCAGGAGGTCCAGCTGTAACACCTGCTACTCAGCGATACCCTACTCCACCACAGCCAATGCCTCAGGTAGAATACAGGATAACATACTGTTACTTTACATGAAAAATCATTCTTTGGAATATGACATAAGGAACTGATAGATGTATTCTTGCTGCATCTAATATGCTTGTAAAGCATATGAAGATTTTGCTGGTGATATGACAAATTTTATTAACCCTTGGAATGATTTATTTAAAGTAGAATTATACTCTCCTTTGTTTTTGCATATATCTACTGCTATCAAGCAGTAGATATATGCAAAAAACATTTTTAAAAAACCATAAAGTTACCAAAAAGGTAAAAGCTTACTGGTGTCTCCACTGCTCGCTCCTGTCTGAAGATCTGAATCTTCTCGAGCGCCCGTGCAAGAGAGAGACAGTGGAGGTAAATGCATGCAGCCAGGAGCGTGTCTGCGCTGGAAGGATTGATGAATAAAAGTGGAAGGAAGAAGATGATCGGATCAAGAGGCATCATTTAAAGGAGAACTATGGGGTTAGGGCTTTTCCCCATAGTTCTCCTAAGGGTAAGAGCGGGGAGGGGGGAATCCAGTCCCTCCCCTGTCACGGCTCTCTGACGTGACAGGATCGAGAAGTGAGCGAAGGCCGGTATGTGTTCGCTCACTTCCCGATCTACTGAGCCGACCTGTGACAGTTTCATTGTCACAGGTCGGCTAGAACTATGAGGATGAGTGAAAAGCACTCGTCTGATAGTTCTCCTTTACACTGGGTTCAAACCTAGGCGTATCGAATATGCGCGTTAGTCGCGCGTTTTTACCGGGATTCTGCGCTTTTTACCTTTTCAGGCGTAGGCCGTTTTGTTGCGCGTTTAGACGGGCTGAAATACGGCAAGGTGTGAACCATACCCATAGAAAACAATGGGATTTCATGTTTGAGCGTTTTGTAGAGCGTTGAACGCGCTACAAAACGTACAGGTGTGAACCAGGCCTTAAGGTAAGTCCTTAAAGTAGCATGTGGGGGAGGGGGGATTTGTGACTTCAATGTCCCTTTTAAGGATTCCTCTACGTGTAAATTTTAAAAAAATTTAACGTTTAAAGCAGGACTAAAATAGAAAAATAACATATAAAAAGCTGTTAAACAGAAGTGGTAGTTACACGGGTTGAGCCTGCAACCTCCCATTCCCTCCCTACTTTTTTTTGTTTTCTATTTTATTACTTTTATTCATTTTTGTTTTTTAATTTGACACTGCCTCCATTCTTGCCTAGAAGAGAATGACGTGCCCTGTTCCCACAGCATCCTGGGATAGCACTGACATATATCCTAGGAGAAAGAAGAGGATCTTGCTGCACTCCTTACCGGATATTCCCAGTGATCGGGAGGGTGCTCGCAATGACCGTGGATGGCACCGCTACATACATAGATTAGTCATAAAGAATGTCACCAGCACACCGAAAAATGCTTTTAGGATCACCAAATGTTCATTTTATTGAACAATTTGTGAAAACAAGTGCTTCCGGGGCCACGCAGGGTACCTTCATCAGGCTCAAACAGCAACCGTCGATGTTTGAGACTGATGAAGGGGACCTTGCATGGCCCCGAAAGCGCTTGTTTTCACTTTTCACAAATTGTTCAATAAAATGAAATTTTGATGATCCTAAAAGGATTTTTCAGTGGCATTCTTCACGACCATATATCCTAGGAGGTTGCAGGCGTAGGGGCACAGAGAGGCCAGTGGGCGGAGCTGTGCAAGTCACGGGGAGCATGCAGCTACCTGAACCGGGAGGAGGCAGCCAGCTCCCAATGACTAAGCAGCACAAAAATGACATCACAGGACCTGGCCTGTGTCACATGAACAGCGTGGCAAGGTGAGTATGTTGTTTTAATGGGGAGGTTGAAGTTTTTCTGTAAAAGTCCATTTTAAACTAAACGCCAGTCACAAATCTGATCTGATGTAATAAAACTGTTGAAGGGGTCTCAGAAGAACAAAAACTGTTAATGGTAGTGACCATTAGGAATATAAAACATGGTTAAGTGCACAGTGATGTTAGTGGCACATCCATATATGATACGTCTGTAATTGCTCAAAGTTCTGTGGACCTTCTTTATTTTACCATTTGCATAATCTTGTTTACTTGTAGCCTACTTTGGGGATGAACAATTTGGTATCATCGGTGGGAGGTCTAAGTCTTCATCAAGCAAAGCAACTGGATGAGCTTCGTGCTGTAAACCTTCTCCAAGAGAGGAACATACTGCCACCAACACCCCTGAAGGCCCCTGCACCCTGTCTACAGGAAGATATTCACAAACTAAATTGTAGCCCAGAGTAAGGTTTATTTAATATTGACTGCTATTGGTAAAAAGGTGGTTCTCAAACCTGTATTAGTCATTAGGTGGCCAAGCAACGAAGTTGCAATGACACCTATTTTTGTTTGGATTATTATTAGGTGGCCAAGCAACGAAGTTGCAAGGACACCTATTGTTTTTGTTCGTATTATTATTATTTTTATTATTATGCCGCTTTTTTCAAATGCCTGTAATACGTGCACTGTTAGTCAAAAACGCATTACACGTTGCACAATGGTAGAGCCCTGTACTCTGCAGAACTTATTGCAATATAAAGGTCATATGTCACATGATGTGGCAGCCATCTTGGTTTTTGCATTGATTGTTGTGAACTATTCAGAAACCTGCTTCTCCAGAACTGCTAAAGCTACAGATGTACAAATTGCTGTGTGAGGTTTCATTTTAGCTCCATTGGCAGGGCTTGAAAAATTGTCTCGTCCGCTCGTCTGTGACAAGAGAACGGTGGACGCCGACAAACAGCTTCCCGGCCGGCCGTTGTAATTACACGGCCGGGAGCTCTACATTCAAGCAATTGAGCGTCTCTAGAGACGCCTGATCGCTTGTATTAGCAGCTGTCACTTCCGGTCCCGAGATCCGCTGTGCCCGATGCGGCTCTGTGACAGGAGATCAAAGGGAGTTAAGTATACAAATTCCCTTTTGATCTCCTCTCAGTCCCCGAATGCAGGAAGTGATGTATATTACATCACTTCCTGCATTCAGTGTCACTCTCCAGCTACAGAAGCTAATGATCAGATCTCTGCTTCATCAGCTTCTCTGGGGGTCCCTAGGTGACATTAGGGCTCTTGGAGACCCCTGATGTCTCCATAAAGAGGACCTGTCATGTAAATTGGCTATTACATAGGGGGCTTCTTAGCCCCCCATGTAATAGCAATAAAGCGGTGTGTGTAAAAAAAAGAAAATAATAATACTAAAATTAATGAATCCATTAAAAAAATTAAAGAAGCATAAAAAAAATAAAACATTTTTTTAAAGTCCCCGCCCCACCACATACACACGCAGATATGCGTCGGGTGCGCCTACGACGATTGTGCCGCACATGTTAAGTATCGCCGCAAACGTCGGAGTGAGAGCAATAATTTTAGAGCGATTAATCACTGATAACACTAAACTGATGAGCAGTAAAATCGTTTTAATCGTCGCCTATGGACGTTTTTTGCTATTTTGCGGGCTCGCGCAATTTTAAGGCTTGACATGTTTGGTGTCTATTTACCCGACGTGTCCCCGACTTATGTTTTGCTAAAAATATGGGTAAGAATAAATAATTTATAACATAACGTAGGGAAACTTTTTTTTTTTTAATATTACATTTATGGTACTTTTTTCATTATACAGT